CATGTCCGGGGAAGGAAGGGCATGGAGACTGAAGGAGAGGGGCGAGCTAACCCCGAGAATGAGTATGCAGAAACAAAGCTGTGGCACAGAGCAGGCCGAGTCAAAGTCATGGGTACCAGGCCCGCCTTTTGGTCAACCTTTCCCCAGAAAAAGGGTAAGTCATTCCCTTACCTCCTCTGCGGTGACCATGGCAATCACGTTCACCCCCTGCTCCCACACCATCTGCCAGAAGTCATGGCAGGTATGAGGCAAGGGCCCCTGAGTGGCAATGTAGTGCCATTCTGCCCCACCAACCACCACCTGAAAGCCAAGAAAAGCATACATCAGTGAAGCCAGGCTGGTGGAACCACGCTCCATTCTAACTCCTTTGGACCAAATGGACCAGTGCAATCACAAAAACCCAGAAGCCATAAAAAATAGATGACACACTTCCGCATCAAAATACTTTTTGCTAAAGCAAACCTATCAAGTCATACTTACCTTATCTTTTATTGCATATGACACACGATATACATATAGGACAGATAAAAAGCACACGCATGAGCTGAGGAAGTGGCTCAGGGGGAAAGCTGCCTTCTGCACAAGTGTGAGGACCTGAGTTTATGTGTAAGTTAGGTGTGATGTTGTGTCTGCTATCCCAGGGCTGAGAGAGTAAAGAAGAAGGGTCCCTGGGGCTCACTGGCCAAGCTTGCTGACACAGTGAATGTAGGCTTAGTCAAAGACGTGCCTCAAAAAAAGAAGAAGAAGGTGGAGGGGCCGTGTGAGACAGTGAAGGTGCCCGATGTCAGCTCTGATGACCTTAGTTGACCCCCAGTATATATGTCATGGAAAGAGGGAACCAACTCCTGCCAGTTGTCCTCTGACCTACACACACACACACACACACACACACACACACACACACACACACACACACAAAAGACAAATGATGTTTACCTTTGGCCTTCATTTGTGAACACATTGGGGAGTGCACACTTACATGTGCACATGCATATATACCACATATAAAAAATATATACTACATGCAGTCACATAAATGTGTAAGTATACAAGAGTATACGCACACACCTAAGCATAAGTGAACAGAATATATGTTACAGGAACAACACCTATGCTTAGTGTGTGCAATGTATGCTTATAATGTCCATGCTTTACTCTGTATTTTATTAAAGCATATGCATGATTACTAGCATTAAAATAGCTTCATAACCACCAAAGGGCTGTGGTTCTGAACAATTTGAAGAGCAGTGTTCCATGGCAGACTTTTAATAAAAGCATACTTTACCACACAGAAAACATGCCATTGACAAAAACAGACCCAGAGAACTGGAGGCCACCTCTGTGTGAACACTTTGTGACTGGTCTTCCATGTCTGTGCCTTGACAGGACAAAGATGAGCCCCTTTACACATCCATGCAATGCAGACCTCCAGAGGGCTCAAGAAGCAATGGGGACATAACTGTTTGAGATTTGCCTCCTCATTTATTTTGTGAGAAGACATACTAACTTCATTCTGACAAAAAATAACATCTGCTATCATCTCACTACACAAGACTTGCTCAGGTCAAGGTTGGCAAGAAACCTGACTTTCCACATACTGGTGGGAGAAAAACCCACGGGCTCACTGGGAGGGGCGATGGAGAGGGTCTGTGGAACTGGGATGCGAAACACTATCCTTCCTGGCACCCAACATACAGGAACCATAAAGACTGGCAGAGAAGGCTGCCTCCTTCAAGTACTGACAGGAGCGCATTAAAAACTGCATGGATGCTATCAGTTGGTACTGCAGAGGGAGATTCAAAGATATGGCTCCACCTCTGAAGGAACTCAAACTCCTTCGGGGTCAATGGCTGCTTGGAACCCAGGGGAGCAAACAGTGGTGAAACACATAGCTCAATTCCAGAAGCCAAGGGCAAGTTCCTGCAAGCTCTCTGGGCCGGTGAAATGCTCCTACATCTACCCTGGATTCCGTAAGACGAAATGTGGGCCTCGGAGAATACCGCAGAAGGGAAGGCATCTCGGGTAATAATGCCCAAAGGCTACTGTTTATGTGGAGTGACAGCTGTTTCCAAAGAGCAGATGGAAAACAGGGAAGAGACTGGGCCAAGGGAAGAGGCCAGGAGAATATCCCCCTGTATGGTATTCAGAAGCACTTCATCTGGAAGCAGCTGCGCCATCTTCATCTTTGAGTGGGTTATTGTGCTCATTATTTCGTAATCTAAGACCATCATTGGTTTACTGGAGAGTTCCCTATCACTCATTATTCATTATTTTATTGGTTTTGTTCTTGTTCTCAAAATAGAAAAAAAAAGCACCTGCATGTTATAAATGCATACACACAGTGCCATGTCCTGTGCATAAAAACATTATACCCAATTATGCCACATTTTTCATGTCCTATGTGGAAACTAGCTATGAGTGATACACAAACCAGATGCCTAACTACATTGGGAGTTCAAAGGAACCTTCTAGCAATTTCCACCAGAGCTGAAAAGTCCAAGGAAATTAAGAGTTCAAAGCTGCTAATCACATAGATTACTCAGTGAATTGTGTTGCTTGAAAATGTTCTATACATACTGACTAATAAGCAAAAGCCCGTGGAACACTCCCAGTTCAGAGGTCAGAGCCATGTTCTAAAGAAGTACAGCCAGTTATTAGGAGAAATGGGGAGAGGGAGCCACTTAGGAAAATCATTCACTCTAGGTACCCATGTGTTTACAGCTCTGAATTCTAACTGGGGTCTAGCTAAGCTATGATATACTGAGACAAGAAGTATTTGAGATATTAACAGGAATTCCACACCATGTGGGCTGAAGAGATGACTGAGAGATTAAAAACACTTGCTGCTCTTGCAGAGAACCTGAGTTCAGTTCCCAGCACCCACATGAAGGTTCACAATTTCTGTAACTCCAGTTCCAAAGAAACTGATGCTCTCTTCCTACCTCTACAGCCACCAGGCATGTGCATGGTGCACATATTCACGTGCAGACAAACATACCCATAAAATAAAAATAAGTAAATCTAAAAAGAAAAGGAACCTTGCACTCCCATTCACTGGCTGAGGATCTGCTGCAATCAACTGTGGTTTGTGTATAAATCACTCCACTCTCATAAACAGCACCAAAAATTAGGGTTTGGCTCTAAGGCCAATTGCCTGTGGTATTATAAAGAAACAATAGTTGGTGCTGCTATTGGGCCGAAAATAAAAACAGCAGTGGTTTGGGCAGAGTTCTGTCACCTGTGAGTGACAAACCAACAGGACAGCCTCACTTGCCATGGCTTGGGGAACGTTAGTGTATCTCTGCAATAACAAACACAGCCTGTGAGAGTATCCCAGGGTGTGTCTCTGATACCCTCTCACCTTGATGTGGGAGGCGTTGATGTAGCCTGTGTTGTTCTCTTTGGTGGGGATGAGTTCCACCCGGTTCTCCTCATAAGGCACAACCTCTCGGATACGGCTGCGCTCAGCGTTTTCTGGCAGCGTGGCAGTGCTGACGATACCATTGGCCTTTTTGTTTGGGATCTGCTCATACTCTGTGAACACCATTCCCTCTTCCAGCTTCTCCTTCAGAGCTCGGAGCTGCAAGAAGAACAGGGTGTCAGCTCTCCCAATCCTGATTGAGCACCCAGGCTCTCTGCACTCCCAGCAAGGGGTTTCTGAGATGAAGACTCGGTGGGTACTTAGCTACTTACTGCCCACACTATCACCCACACCACTAGTCTCTCTGCGCTGACAACTGTTTGCCATATCACTCACCTATAAACTGCAATCTGCAAAGACTGGCTTAAGTGGATATTCAAATTCCATGTTCCTATTACTTGTACTGCCTATGACCTTTGCTGATAAGGAGAGTGTCAGTCTTAACTATTCAAGCATCCTTTACCCTCACAGCATTTTTTACCGAATGAACTTTTACTAAACTGAACTTTTACTTAAGTTCACAGTTGTAGAGTGCTGAATATTAACCCACACAACACAACTTGCCTTTTTCCTTCCTTGGACAAACCACTAATTTCAATTGCATCATATTAATTGGGGGAAATGTCCCTTCTGACCCAAGAAAAGATTCTAATACCAGCATCTGGTGACAGAGAAATCTAGCATGCTATCATGTCATTTAGTGAACTTAGGAAAACAGTTTCCAGACCTTCTGGTAGCAAGCCCAGCAACTTAGGGCCCCCCCTTTTCACCTCAGCAACACAGGATCAATACCTAACTAAAGAACTATAGGTCACATCACTTCACAGTTCTCAAAGAGAACCACGGGAACCCTAAAACCCTGGATGACTGTTTCCTAGGAAACAGCAGTCATTACAAAAATCATTGAGTGTGACAGCTGGAAAAATTAACTTTCTCATCTTACAAAAACGGTTCTCCACACTTATAGAAACATAATGGTTTCATTGCAGAAAATGAATTTTTTTTTTTTTTAGTATTTCCCCCACCACTCCTCAGCATGTTTCAAATTAGTGCATCTTTGAATTCAGTTGTGTGAGGAAAACAAGTATGTCAATCACATCAGAATGCAAATTTGCATTTTTCCTTAGTCAGTGTTAAAATTATGAAAAATGCATAAAGAATTAGTAATCATATTAGGCACTTATGATTACAAAGTAAAGAACTAAGTGAGTAGGCCAAGGTCATACAGCTTGATAGAGCTTGGTCTTTTGTTTTTTATTGTTTGTTTAGGGGAGGAAGCACGCTGTTCAGAGGTCACAGTGCACCTTGAGAAAGTCGGTTCTCCATTGGCACATTGTCAGTTCCAGGGATTGAATTTAGGTCTTCAGACTTGGGAGCAAGTTCCCACACCCACTGAGGGATCTCACCAGCCCTGGGGCTAGACTTCTTAATAAAGCGTCAGTACACTAGCTTGGTAAGTGTGGAGACCAGAATGAAGAAACAGGAGATGTTGGGAAGGGTTTGTTTTCACACAGCACACTTGGACCAAGTCTTCTTCAGTTTGAAAGAATGAACCCACGAGGCAAACAGCACTGACAGGCCTGGGCAAAGAGGGACACCTGGAATCTGGAGGCACAGGGAGCAAGTCACACCCGACAAGCCCAGCACTCACCCTCTCGTCTATGGGAACTCGGGTGGCATCCTGTCGACTGTCTTCCCGCCCCGGGACGCGGGCCACAGAGAGCCCATTCAGCGCTGCCAGCATCAGTGGCCTCCTCTGTGGGTCCAGGCCTGCCATCTTCTGCTTCTCTAGATTCTTCCGGCAAGAAAAGACACGTTCTCATTGTTTATAATTCCAGGGGAAGGCTGGAATGTGTTTTAATCTCCCCAAATCTGTAACTCCCCAGCCAAGGAATGCAGACATTCACCATTAGCAGGGCAAATTCAAACACAGACTTCCCACTACTCCCACCGTGCCCAGGGAAGCCGGTTCTTACAGGACCCTAGGGCCTTTACTCTTAATTAACTCATAAGTTAGAAAGATAAAGACAGACTCCCTAGCAAATACACCTTGCCACGGGGTTTACAAGAGAACAAAAACAGGGTTTGTATAAATACACTGTAGAAAACTATGGGCTGGAGACAGAAGAAAGGAAACCGAGGACTTCAGGGAATGAGCCCATCATGAGGACAGGCCTTCTGCACTGACTAATGGTGTAAAACCCGCTGGCTATAGTGTTGATTAACAGAGCCATACGCAGAAGCAAAAATAGAAAACTAGGTTTCTATTCTGAGGGGCTCAAGCTGAAGACCTGAATCTTAACACTTACTCCCAGTCCCTGAGACACCTGCTTTGCCATACTTTACAAAGTCACCACCATTCCAGTCTGGCCACAGACCATGAATCACCAGGCCTCCCAGCCCTTCTCGCTCCATCCAGAGTGAACGAAGGGCATCATTGGAGGGTCTTGACAAGAGCATGGACTGGCCAACCCTATATCCCCTCATCTCTGGGCTGAGCCAGGTGTAGTCAGGGATGGAAAATCCTCCCTCTTTACTGTTGGCAGCCTACCGTGTACATCACTTGAAAATCATTTTGTCTGAAGATATACAGGGAAGAGTATGAAAGAGACAATTATGATGCTAACTGGAGCAATGCCAGTCTGTAGATGCCTGTGACTGCTAGAGATGCAGGCGTAGCCTGGTCTCTTCAAGGATTTATTTTCTTATTCTATCCTTTATTAATGTACTCCTGGAGGAGGTATCTTGATGGGGCCATGTTGTTGGAAAAATGGCACTGAGGAAGATGGGGGTGGGGAGGCAGGGACATGGGGAGAAACCCTTGTGAGGGATGGTATCAACAGGCAACTACTCTGGGGACAGGCTGACCCCACAGACAATCAAGGGTGCATCAGAGAGCAGGGGGCAAGCTGTGAGGTGTGATGGGCAGCTGCAGAGTAGAGTGACTGTGTGCCTACAAGAACAACCTCGGTGCCTCCACACCAAGTAGCCCTCTGGGATGAGTCTGGATCCATCTGCTGGTTAGTTCAGTTTTGTGAAAGGAAATTCTCTCCTATTCCCCCTTTTCCACTGAGTCTTGAAATGCTCCAAAGGTTTTGTTTTGGTTTGATTTTTGAGATCAGGTCTCTCTAGGTAGCTCTGGGTGTTCCTCAAAGCTGGAAGCAATCCTCCTGCCTCTGCTTCCAGAGCTCAGGGATTGTTATTCTTGGGAAAGGCACACTACCCACCCGGAGAGAAGTGACTACAGAACCAGGCCTCTTAGGTGCAAGTGCCATTCATCCCATTAGCTTTCCAGCAGGGACAATAAAGAAATAGCTAGCTAAATAAATAAATAAAGCTGGCTTTCTTTGCTCTCTGAACCTGACTCCAGGCTCCAGGACTGAAGGTTGGAAACATCTTCAAGGCATGAAGGATGGGACACTAAGGACAGCAGGCTGAGCAATTTACCACATGAAAAGCAATGGAGAATATAGGGAGCTCCCTGTACCCAACCCTCCACACAGGCTTGAGGTTTCTTTCTGTTCTCTTAGTGTGAGGGGTTGGTTGGCTGCAGCAGCCTTTCTCCTACTCTCCATAAACAGAGGCCTGGGGAGTTGTGTGGGTGCTGCCTAGGCCACTGAGTACAAACACTGACTTAGTAACAAAGATTCATTTTGAGTGTTAGAGCCACTGGCACAGGTGGCCTTCTTGCTTGACCTGCTGGCGCTTCTCTGAGGCTGGGACATTGATTGACCAAGGGCAGCAGCAGCCTGTGAACTCCTAGTTGCATGGGCCTGTGTGAGGGGATCTAACAGGGTTAGGGATGTTGATATGGGCAGTCATGTTCCCAAGCTAAAAGCTAATCTGCCACCACCCTGGAATAAAACAGAACTGGAGGAGGGGACAGCAGAAAATACTTCATTCTTCCCTGTTTGCCGGATGCTTCCAAGCAGGGGACCAGCACCAGGGCTACGGCCAAAATGAGGTTACAAGACCATGTGGACATTGTTAAGTCTCCACTTGGCAGGGCCAATCTGAAAGCTTGATGTGTATGGTGATGGGTTCCTGAAGCCAAGGCAGCTTTTAAGGGGCCTGGAGCCAAGAAGTATTGAAACATCACTTTAAACCGATGAATTACTTTTTTCCAAGCTGGGAAAACTGTCTCTTCACGGTACTCACCCCCGCGTTTCACTCCATCCCCAGCCAAAGGGCTGTGTGTGTGTGTGTGTGTGTGTGTGTGTGTGTGTGTGTGAGAGAGAGAGAGAGAGAGAGAGACCCCCACACAAGAAGCATGAAGTCCATCCACACTGACTCTTGTCACCACCCTGCTGACCACCAGAACTCAGGAGCTGAGCTGCCTTCAGATTGTTCTAAAGTAACAAGGTTGGATTCGACCTCTGAACCCAGCAGTGTGGTTCTGTAAAACTTTGGCCTTTGCTTCCTGTCTGGGTTGATTCCCAAGAATGAGTGCCGAAGACTCAGTAATGAGCCTAATGACCGCCAACAAAGCAAACGTAATAAATACAAGCATTTTCCGGAGTTCCTAAGTGAAGGCTAGCGGCCTGACCGCACGGCTGTGATGAGTGGAAAAGCAGTCAGCTGGCTCAATTCGTTACATAATTGGAAGGCTTTTTAAGGAGGTCAGGACTTCCAGGGAAAGTGGCAATGAGGATTTTTCCCCCAGCAGCAACTACAATCCAACAATGTTCTCATTGTAAGAGGTGTTTATTTTCTTGTATATACACATCTGCCACCATGTGGTCTCGCCCAAACAACAGGACTAGCTCTCTAGGCTGTGTGCATCCTAGTGAAGGGTTATCTGTAATAGTGACACTGCAGAGTATCTTCAATTGTGGCATGTAAGCAATGCATGTGCACACACGCATGAGCTCTCATAGAGGGAATCTGATGGGAAAGTCCTCAGAAACATGCCCAATCACTAAAATGTTCTTGTACTGAGTACACCAGCCACAAGCCATGTATGGAAAGGGGATAGAAGTTGTTACTTGACGTCTGGTGACATCAATGCCAAAATGCTCACCATTCTTTAAAGCCCAGCACACCCCCTGAAATCCCCTCCTCTAGGCCTCCAGCACCAGGGCCCCCTACCATCAATGACCTGGGAGTGGGAACACTCACCCTAGTCATCATCTCTCTCTCTATAATGCTGTCCTCCAGTGAGAACATCTCTGACACAGGCCTTTCCTTCACAGGTTCTTTCTTGACCCGTTCCTTCACGCTGCTGAGGTCAGGCTCAGAGATGGAGGGGCCCAGAGAGGCCCCGTTGACAGCCAGCTGCTCAGTCCGGGAGACACTGAGGGCCTTGGATGGCCCGTGTCTCAGCACCCTGGCTCTGGCCATGGCAGGAAGGAGGGTCCCCTGGTCCTGCCGCAGGGCCCCGTTACTGACACTTTTTCTGGGCCCTGGGTACTCAGGCGGGGGCCTGTTGGGAATGCGGGCCAGGGCAGCCTGCAGCTGGGCACTGTATTCCACCTTCTCCCGAAGCACAGGGATCGCAGGCACCGCCTCAGGGGCCTCCTCCTCATCCTCACTTTCACTGCTGTGGATGAGCATGGTAGCATCTGAGAGTGTCTTCTTGTGGTGATACTGGGGAAGCCTGTGCACTTCACGGCCACCTGCCTCCTCAGAAGGGCCCTGCTCCCGAAGCGTGTTACGCCGAGCCACAGGGATGTTGAGTGATTTCAGTGTCATGGCCTCCATGCCTCGCACCATACTGTTCATCACCTCCAGGCTGTGGCGTTTGTTCACCGTGCCATGGTGCTTGGTGGCTGTGAGGGGTTCGCTCACCTCCTGTAAAGACTGGTGGACCACAGGAGAGCTGTCCTCCTGGAAGGTCTTCACAGACAGCTGGACCTTCCGAGTTACCAGATCGGGGCTGCTGCCGCTGACATATTTGTGGCGGTGGCTGGCGAGGTCTGGGGTGCTGGTGGCAGGACGAGGCCGAGGGTAAGGGGGTGGTGGCCTAAAGAGGCAATTCTTGAGCATGTGGGCTGTGCTATAGTTTTGTGTTCCTTGAAGCTGCATGTTGGCCAGTTCTGGGGTGCTCACTGTGTGCGAGATGGAGCTGGCCCCTGGCTGGCTAGGCACTGTACAATTCTTGGGGTTCATCTGGTCAGATGGGTTAACAAGTTTGTGGCCGTAGCCCCCCTGGGGAGCATAAGAGACAGTGTAGGGATGTCTCTCCCGCATCTCGGGCTGGCTGTACACCAGTTCCTCGGGCTGGTTGTAGGCGTGGGTATTAATGATGCTGAGGTTACGCAGAGACCTGCTCTGGCTGTCCACATGCATCAGTCCCCTCTTCATCTGCCGCATGACTGTCTCATAATCGGGGGTGGGCCTGTAAGATGGCACGATGATGGTGCTGTGACGGTGGCTGGGGATGTAGTCAGCCCTCATGATGTCACTCCCAGGGATGCTGAGGTTGGAGGACACTGGAGAGGCCTGGATGAAGCTTTGGGAGCAGCTGAGGGAGTTAATGCTGTGAACACTACACACACTGCCATTGGTGACTGTACCATTTAAGTAATTTAAGTCCAGGCTGTTGTGAGAATTGCAATACAAGGCTTCTTCATTCCCAGGGAAAATGCTGTCTGTAAAAAGTCAAACAGAGGAACGTGAATCATCACACCACACAGCAGAGCTCATCCCTATGTCCCTGGAGGAATCTTCCCTGACCCTCACCCTCATGTCACAAAGAACCGTTATCATGGATGAAGTGTCCGTGTACAGAACATGTCAGAGCACACTGCAGAGGAAGAGATTAGTGTGGGCATCGCATAGGCGCAGTCTCAAATTTGCTATAATTAGATTCAGACAAAGAGCTATTTGTTGGGTAGACCTGGTGTCTGGTACACAGCTTAGGGGTAGAACCGGGTATTTGGGCCAGGAAGTCAAGAGTTTTAATAGAGCAATAGACTTGAAACTGCCTCACCCTCAGAGCTGCTACTCTCTGACTACATCCGAATAGGGCTCTTCACCTAAGGGACTGCAGAGCATTCAGAGAGAAGCAAGGCTGACGACGTGGCCAGCATGGCCATGGCTTCTGAGCAGCAGTCAATGGACGGCAAAGTCAGAATTGAGTTTTTGAGGCATTCCTGAAACCATCTTCTGCTCCACAACCATGGCTGCTGATCACATCAAAAAGTAACAAAGGCTGAAAGAACCCAAAGAGCTACAAAGCTGTTTTTATGTGCCTTTATGGTATGCATGTATGTGGGGGCATGTGCATGCATTTGTATGGCGGACCAATGCTTATGCCGGGAAGCATCCTTGGTCTCTCCTCTATTGGATCTGCTCAGGCAGGACTCTCGGTGAGACTCTGAGCTTGCTGATATAGCATCTCTCTAGCCGTCTGGCTCAGGGGATCCCACCACTGCCCTCTGAGGCTGGGACTTCAGGCAGGTGTCACCCTCACTGAGCATTTGTGTGAGTTCTGGGGAACCATACTCTGGTTCTCACTCTCACAGCAAGTGATTTAACTGCTGTGCTGGAGAACTTTGATGTCAGCTTTACATATGGGGAAGAAGTTGTAATTGAGATATTGCCTCCATATGGTTGGCAAGACTGTGGGGGCATGTTCTTGATGAATGGTTGGTGTGGGAGGGCCTAGCTTACTGTGGGTGCTGTCACCTGGGCAGGTGGTCTTTGGTGGTATAAGAAAGCAGTGTGCCATGAGGAACAAGCCAGCATTCAGTGATTCTCCATGGCCTTCTGTATCGTTCCTGCCTTGAGCTCCTACCCTGACTTCCCTCAGTGATGAAATGTGATCTGAGAATTATAAGCTGAAATAAGCCTTGCTTCTCACGTTGTTATTGATCATGGTGTTTTATCATAGTAATAAGAAACCCCAACTAAGACAACCCATGAACCACAACAGCCAAGTTATAAATCACATTGACTCTGGATATGCAATCTCTCTCTCTCTCATTCTCTCTCTGTGTCTCTGTCTCTCTCCTCCCCCCTCTTTCTCTCTCACACACACAGAGTTCTCATGTGCAAATTTTAACATTAACCTCTGCCTCCCTTTTCTGTATGGAAACAATAGTACCACAGGCTTACTGTGGGATTAAATGAGTGGGATTAAATACACAAGTCCCTGGACTAGCACCTGATACCACCGCTGCATCCATGTTCATTCTTGTCCCTGTACACACTGAAAAGGCCTGAAGGGGGAACAGGAAAAAACACTGAATGATGAGGGTGACAGTCCCTCAGTTACCCCATCACCACGTGGCTGCTCCAAGCTCCTGACATTAGCACTGAGGGTGAAGTCAGTCACTCGGCTAGGGAGGGCTGGGCTGTCAATCTCCACCCTTGGCCCACTAAGAAGACAAGTAAACAAGAATGTATCCTCCAGGTTGGCCTAGGAGGCCAACTTCTTCCGAGTTACCCAAATCTGAGGGATTTTTCTTTCCAGGCAGCTGATATGCTTAATTTCACAAACTGAATATGCTGGCCACTGTGATTAGACAATTACAAAGTTAAAATCAAACCATCATTGACATTTTCTAGCAAGCTTTTCTGTTGTGGACCCAGCCATCTGTCTTAAAGAGGCAGAAGGGTAGGATACGGTTAGTTAGTTACCTTGGGAAGTATGGGTCTCCGAGTAGTGCTCACTGCACTGCACATGCATGGGAGGCAGGATGTACGGCTGCTGCCTTGGCTGAAACAGAGAAAACAGAGCTGCAGATGCTGCAAAGACACTTGGGAGAGGCCAAAAACCAGCCCCAACCCAGAGAAGCACACTGCAGCTGCTCTGCAGTGTGGTCCCTCTGACCCACCGACTTCTACAGACCTAAGATCCCATCTCATAGTGATGCTGAGAACAGCAGAAATTAGGTCAAGGTCAAAGAGAGAAAAAAAATGCCAGCATCCAAAGTCTTGAGTACAGCTGTTGTTTGGGGTGTTGCACACTGGCCACATTCTCTGGGCCTTTGAAACAGGTATAGCCAAAAGAGACGCACCCATCCAAGAAATGTATTTTACTGTATCCAAAACTGGCTCCCTACACAGCAGCAGAGCCCACAGTTCCAGTACATAGAACCACGGGAGGTTCATGTAGGGTCAGGGATGTGTTAAGCTGGGCCCAGTGGTGAATTGACATGAGAGTTCAAAGTATGACGCATATAGTCTCAAGGTCACTGCAGAATCACATATGGCAAGGGCCAGACAGACACTCTAGTCCAGAAAGGACATCCTCTTGGCCAGTGTAGATCCTTTGTCACTGACCGTGAGTGGGGCAGTTAGATCATTCTGAATTGCTCGTACTGCAGAAGAGGGCATACTTGGCGTTGGTGGCAGATAGCTATTATCTCAAGATAACTGACTTAGAAGCAGTGCTTGGTGGCCCACACCTTTAATCCCCGCACTTGGGAGGCAGAGGCAGGTGGATCTCTGTACCTGCAAGATGAATCTGGGCCATCTAATGACTTTCAGGGCACCAAATGGAGAACAAGGTAGGTCATGAAAACTAGAGATCCAAAACTCAGCAGGAGCCAGAGAAGAAAAGCATGACATGAACTAAGAGAATTTCAGGTGCTAAGGAAAAGGTGCTGCTCACTCCTCTAAATAACCCCAGAAGTCCTGGCAGGTGCTTTTATAGTTGCAATCTCAAAGTAGTCTTTCTTGTGTTGACAACACATAAACTAACTAAAATTGTCTACAGTGGGTAAGGACTGTCGGCTTTATGAACTAGAAGAAAATGAGGGCACAATGACAGGCTAGGCGCACCCTGGATGTGGAGGAAACTCTTTGGTGCTCATATCTATGGACTCAGGGAACTGTACATCTAGAAGAGTAGGAAGGTCACATGCCTTAAAAAGCTATGACAATTAGAAGACAAATAGTCTTCTAGCACCCCTGAGTAACCCTTAAAACAGAGAGCCTACAGCAGACTTGTGTACAGCCTTGCTTCCTGCTCATGTCACCAGGGAAAAAGAACAGCTTTAAAAAAAGTAAAAGTCAGCCAACGGCTAGGGGCTTTATTGACCAAAGTCTGGAAATTAGAAAATGTCCAATGTCCCATCTGTTTCAATATATTGAGACAGTTAACTAGACTCCATTTTGTTGCCATTCATTGAAAGCATTTTCTGGTTAGTTTGCTCGTCACTATCTGTGGCAGTGAATCCCTTGGAATCTGTGGCACTCACAACTGGGACATGTTACCAGAACAGATGAGCAAATGGTCTGAAGGTACATTATCATTCTGGCCTGGAATAAGCTTGGGGATTTCCTCAAACCACGAGGAGAGAAGAGGTAGGTGGGACAGGTAGGTGGGACACAGGGGATATTTACCACACCCCCTGCAAGTAAATGACAGCCCTCTAGACTGTAAGAAGTCTCCTCTGGTCATGGTACCCTTAGTCACATCCCCTCAAATCCATAACACAATCCTTACCCCAACAGCCACACCACTGGCCCAGAACTTATACGTACCAGGGAGGACCGGCTCCAGGTGGGCTGTCGTCTGATTGGGGGTGGAGAATTTGACTGTCTATATGAAAAATAAAAAATGAGGACCATCATTATTGCTGACCAAAATTCAAAAGGTCACACAGACAAGGGACACTAAGAGAGGGGCCAGGCCTCTCAGCACACACAGCATGCTCAGTTCATGCCTGTACACCAGCACTAAGAACTCAACTCTTTCATCCTCAAAATGTCCCAAACACATATTTTTGTCATGCTTTCTCATTATTACAAGAACACTGAGACTTTACTACTAAAGAAATATGATGAGAGGAATCAAGACTGGAAAACCTCACATCATATAGGCTTTTAAAACAGTGTCCTGTGTAAACTGTGTGTATGTGCGTAATGAAAACGTTCTGATAATGCTTCCAGTTTAAACAAAATTCCAAAGTAGAAAAAATATTTTTCAGTTTGAGACCATAAAGATAAGACACACTGCAAATGTTTATCAAGCCAGGTGCCTTTGTTGTTTGATTTAACTGTGTTCTCATGCTGGGGGGGAGGGGGGATTAAAGCCAACAAAGGGTAGGCAAATATTCCATAGCTGAGCAACCCAGCAAATCTTTTACAGAGAGAGTACTCCAGCACTGATTAAACAGCAATAAGAGAGAGGTGCGACGAAACGGAACACAGAACATCCATTCTTGAGAGTGGATATCAGGTGGTCCCAGTACCACACAGTGTTTAAAAAGCAAAATGAAAAACAAGATACAGACTTTTCATGGGGATAAAACTCTTCAAATACAGGCTCTTCTGATTAGGAGAATCTTCTACCTGCTTGCTCATAAATGTCTTTGCTGAAGGTTTTTAGCAGCTAGACAAATTCAGTGTTATCACATCCATGTTAAACATGGTCTTCCAACTCTTCCTGCCCAGGTCAAAGGTGAAGCAACCATATTCTAGAGCAAAGTATCCAGATGGCAAAGACCAGTTCTGCAGGGGTGGATGCTGTGTGACAAGTGATGAGTGGACAGGCCTGGATGGAGAAGGAGGCTACTGAGACGATTCAAGTTTTGGAGAACTCTAGGGGAATGCCCTTAACTTGATTATAGAGCTCACCATGTATGTGGGAAGGATGAGGTTAAGTGCTTCCCATGCCATGTCAGGAAGAAGAAAGGCAGGGTTGACCCAGAACAGAGTTCTTGATTTTCAGTGTTACATGTGGTGTTCATGGATATTAGAAAAGACCATACAATAAACATAAATGTTGAACACAGCAATGAAGCCATTTGCTAAGAAACAGTTAAAGAAGAAGATGGCAACTCTAAGGGGTTCACAATCACCACGCAGAAGCCAGCTATAGAACTCTTGATGGTGTCGAGGCCACGACACAAATGCAAAGGCAGGAGCAAACTAGAACCATATGCATATGATGAGTGTGTCTGCAGAAGTCACAGTCACCTTCTTGCTTGGCCCGTCTAACCCATCTTTGCTAACTTCACTGGTAGGCCTATATCAGATGTACTTTTGACCCTAGCATTGAACAATGGAGGTGCCTGGTTTGACAGGACCTGTGCTATGGTGGAGGGAAAGAAGTCTGCTTTGACCTGGGGCTCCAGTTCTGAGCAGCTGCCTTCTCCAGGGATACCTGCCATGTAGCAGTATTCCACCCTGCTTGGATGTGGCCACTGTGGGAGTGGAAAGACAGTTCCCCTCTTGCATTTACATCCCTGATGCTCTTTGAACCAATACTAAACACCTTGGGGGCCGAAGAGGCAAATGTGCTCTGTGGAGGGAATGCCTTTTGAAAGCAACCGACGTAAAGGCAATGACAGAGTGGGCCCCCGGCACGCCATCTCCGAGGTCAGGCCATGAGGAAGTGCCCTCAATCAGACTCAGACTTATCATCTTTATTTCCGAACTAAATTAAAAAGACACACAGATGCATGCCATCTCGGAGTGCCTTCCAAATCCCCCTCTAATTACCCTGGCCTCTCATTTGCAGTCAGATGGCACGACCCAAGAGCGCACGCAGGGCTTGCCAACTGTGAGCGGAAACAGGCCGATCCAGCGGCAGCATCCTCTCTTTTAAGTTGGCTCATCACTCAGCTCCCCACTCCTGAATATACTCCACATCTAACACGGAGGGGCACCTGGGCAAATTGGGAACAGCTGGGCTCTTCCGAACTCAGCGCCGAGTGCGGGAAAGGCACTGATGTGGCCCACCCATCCAGGAAGTTAAACATTTATAGTCAATTTGGGAATGATTGTCTCTCTAGGCACACGGACTGCAGTAGACTGCACTTAAAACTTCTTTCCCTTCTGACTGGCTTTAGACTACTCCTATGGCTGCTATGAAGATCAAGGGAAAAGAATGAATGGAAACAGGGCCACAACTCCTCAGAGGCACTCGATTTAATAGGACCAAGCCATTCAGAGATGGAGGGGGCGGGGCAGCGGTGAACTAAGCGTTTACTTACTCAGTGCAGATCTTGTTCTGTTTGTAAAATTTGTGCCGGGTTGTAAATAACCGAGAAATATACTTGGCATTTTCAATGTCATCCTTGAAAAAGAAGAGGTAGGAAAAAAAATAATTATTAGTAGGATTAGATACATGTTTCACAAAGATGCGATGTGTAGACACCCATTCCCTCTCCTTCCATCTGAAGTACAAGATAACATGCTAGGCCAGGAAGCAAATCAACTTTTGTGATTTCAATGGAGCCCAAGCTACCATGGCCCAGCAAAGATGGCATAAATGGCCATCTGCTAATGAATTCTTCACATCAAAAATGCTAGGTCTGCAATGATGAACTGGCAGGTTCTCACCTAATTCTAAACCAGAACTTTCAAAACTAGTAACTGAATCAAGGCAGGGCCTAGAATTAACACCAAATCATTCAACCAGACACAGTATGACAAGGTCAACAGTCTTCACTCCCGAGAAGGGACTTGAGTAGGGAGAGGGTCAACTGACTCCAGACAGTGTAGACGGTGAGGGGACTGAAAAATCCAGGTCAGCCAGCAACAGAAAATGCAATGTGACATAATTAGGAGTCACCAGAGGAAGAGTGTGACCAGAGTACCATGGCATGCTGGACAAACTTGAATGTTAGTGCCAAAGCCAGTGGGAACATTCATCACTTGCAAGAAGTCATGCAGGGTCAGGCAAGTGTAGAAAGAATGCCTTCAACAGCACCAAGTCCCTTATGGAGTACAGTTGTATCCAATGGGCAGGCATGGGCTGCATGGACCCTCGGACCACCTAGGAAGGCAGTCCAACACTGTAAACATATTTATAACATTATGAGGAGGTGTGTGTGTGTGTGTGTGTGTGTGTGTGTGTGTAACCTTTGAGTGTGTAACAATGGGTCCCAACATTAAAAGGCTGGACATGTAAGTATTAGAACATGGAGAATGAGGTGAGGGCATTGTTAGCTTAAAAAAAAAAAATCCCTCCTCAAGCTATGCAAGCCCCTGGACTCACTGTGTGGAAGAGAGCAGTCTCCTCCTTGTCAATCAGCTCCAGCAGGATGGATGATTTGCTGTGGGTGACACTTCCGATGTCATTCCACCTGGGGCAAAGAAATGTGACTAGGTTTACTTGAAGATGACCCAAGAGAAAGGCCTCATCTTACAATTATGATGTAACTATTTTAGATATGTAACTAGCTTAAATATTCCACCTCTCAAGGGGGAAAATGGAAAGAAATCATTATGCACCAACTCACATAGTGACACTCATTCATGAAATGCAGTTTTCCTTATGGGGAGCTATATGAAAAACCTGCAAAGGTCTTGTTACTGTCCCTCCCCCCAAGTTTTGCACTGATGAGGCATTTCCCATGGCCCCTGCATGTTTTAGTGACCCCAAAGCATAGCTGAAGTTCTGTAGTGCATTTCACATTCACTGTGCCATCTTGGAAAAGCTGCCCAATGGCTGTTTCTGTATCTCCGCATCAGTCACGTGAACATGCTTTCCTTGCCTGTCCTCAGAGGCCTGTCTATAAAGGATGTGCAAGGGGCCGAGTCAGTGCACGGATCCAGGCAGGAAGACACAGGGAAACCACTGAGTGTGGGGGCCTGTGGTCGCCAGGGTCTTGTGGGGACTCAAATCCCAGAAGAAAGTACCAGACACTAGGAAATGAGTAGCTGCCTCCTGTTTTACATGGAGCCAGTTCCCAGCCATCTTTTTAATGGGCAAACTTCAACAGATGCCCCAGTTCCAGCTCCCCACCAGTCACTTTTGCCTTCCATTGTGCTCACTAAAGTGCCCCCTTCTGTTGAGTTTTTCTCTTTCTCCCTTCTTTCCTTCCTCCCTCCCTCTCTTCCTTCCTTCCTTTCTTTCTCCCAGGCAAGGTTTCAAGTATTCCAGGCTGTTCTCAAACTTAACCACGTAGCTTAGGGTGACCTTGAACTTCTGACCCTCCTGTTTTCACCACTACACAAGATGTTTATATGGTGCTGCCAGACTGAGTACAAGGCTTGTTGCATCCCAGGCAAATATAACACAACCTGGGCTCCATCCCCAGCCCTTTAAGGCTCAACTCTGGAGTCTCAAGCCCTAGCAAGTCCTTCCTCATTCACTACCACTCACCCAGAGAAAAAGAGCCTGCTGGAACCCTCACTCCCTACCCCACTGCAGTGCGAGCTTTTAATTCTGGGGTTAGATCTCCAAAGAGATTCTGGAAGACCACAGGCTCCTCATCCAGTAGGGACTCCTTGTCTCCATGTCTGTAATCCATGCACTGAGCCAGCCACCTGCACACAGTTCAAGTCTCACATCCTATCTGAGTCAGAAAAAGGCAGCTGATTTGCTCCTGAGTAGATTCAATGTAGACACTGGTGAGAACCTGAGTCAGTGAATCTACCTCCTAAGACTGGCTTGTGAGTTCTTACCTGGGTTTTTCAAATTGTCCCCCAGTCACCTGTCCATTCCAGAACAGCTATAGTCCCCCCGCACATGCCCCAGGAGTCCCCTCCCATCTCCACATGCTCCCTGACAGAGACTCCTGGCTGAGTGGCTACCAGCTGCTGCTAGGATCTCAAGATAGGAGGCTTCTTTCTCCCAGGAGAATTCTTTCAAAGCAACTGCCAAAACTCTTCAGGCACCCCTCACCCTGTGCCCGCCTGGGAACAGCTCCCAAGGAAGGGAACAAACCCAGCCAGAGGCTCCCCATTCTGACATCTGCATGTGGCCATTTTCATATCATGTATCATGATATGTAAGGTTGCTCATATCATGTAGGGTTGCTCATGTATGTGTAGGTTCACGTGTGTGTGTGTGTGTGTGTGTGTGTGTGTGTGTGTGTGTGTGTGTGTGTAACCCAGGGGACAACTTTGGGTAGCATTCCTCAGTTACCATCCACCTTGGTTTTTGAGAGTCGCCAAACAAGTTAGTTGGGCTTGCCAGAGAATCCCGAGGATGCACCTGCCTCTACCTCCCAGCTCTGAGGGTACAAACCTGTGCCACCATGCCCAGGATATTTTTATGTGGGTCCTGGGGACAGAAATTGGGTTCTTGTAAGACTTTACCAGCTGAGATATCATCCCCAGCCCTTAAAAGTTTGTTAAGTTGAGTAGGGCTGGGGAGGCAGAGGCATGAGGATTGCTATGAGTTCCAGACCAGCCTGATCTAAGGAACTACTTCCAGGATAGGCTCCAAAGCTACGCAGAGAGACCCTGTCTTGAAAACAAAATGCTTGTTAAGTTCTAAAGTTCTTTATACTCACAGTCTGTTTCAAAAATCAAGGGGGGAAATCCTAAGAAAAAGGGCAGAGTGAGGATCTAAGATAAGCAACACTCACCAGGATGGTTTTGGTTGGAAACTGTCTAAAAAGGCAGCCCTAACTGATCTGAGAGCTTGTGCTCTGCCTGTTAGAGCTGTCACGTATCAACTGTCTTAGATACACAGCTACACTTATCAGATATACACACAAGAATGGCATTCTGTCAATCAACATAGGGCCAGCCTGTGAGGGTACACAAAGGTGAGCGTGCTGTTGTCATGGAAACTCTAGGCAAATATGCAAAGAGCCAGCTAGTGGACATTCACCACATCCCTGGACAGGATTTGCTAGTACTAAATGGAAAAGGAGGTTAAAGGGTCCAAGTAATTAAAAAAACAAAGCACTCAGGTCATTTCACTTGTAATCACAGACTAACTGCCTCTCAAATAGACTTTTACAGACAACCTATCCCCTTTTGTTAGTGTAAAGATTACTTTGTCCTTGTCCAACACTGTGGTCAGGCAGAGGGTATAGGGCTGTGGCAAGAATCTGGTTTGGATCTAAACGGCCAGGGACAGTCCCAACAAAGGCAATCAGTGGAACTGACTACAGAGCCCACTCTTCCCACTCTTGAGGTCTGCCCTACTGACTCTGTAAGACTTGAAATGCATGTTCCCTGTAGTCAGAGAGGAAGGAATTGAATCCCCAGGGAAAGCAGTAGCAATTTCCCTCTAGACCCATCAATCCAGAAGGCGGCCAATTTCATATGAACTGAGAAAATGAAGCTCACTCAGGTCCAGGGTGGCTCTTAACTCCTTGCCTAACAACAGTCAATGGCACAGCCCACAGTCTCTGAGGGGAGAGAAGGGAAGAACACATTACCTGTAGATCACTGCCTGTCTTCCGATCCTGCTCCTCACAAAAATCCCCATAAAGAAAATGCCAAGGTGCATGCTGTTGCCATGATTGTCCTGCAGAGAATCAACAGAAGGCACCTGTTACCACCACGACCTCTGGGTCAAACAGCCCAGTGTCTGCCAAGAGACCAATGGAAAAAGATGGGGTAGTGGGGTGGGGTATAATGTGCATGTACACCACTGTGAGGTGTGGTATGGTGTGTGTGTATGTATACTACACAGTGAGGTGTGGTATGGTGTGTGTACATCACACAGTGAGGTGTGGTTTGGTGTGTGTGTATACTACACAGTGAGGTAATGTATGGTGTGTGTGTGTATATCACACAGTGAGGTGTGGTATGGTGTGTGTACATCACACAGTGAGGTGTGGTATGGTGTGTGTGTACATCACACAGTGAGGTGTGGTATGGTGTGTGTGTACACCACAGTGAGGTGTGGTATGGTGTGTGTACATCACACAGTAAGGTGTGGTATGGTATGTGTGTGATACTACACAGTGAGGTGTGGTTTGGTGTGTGTGTGTACTACACAGTGAGGTGTGGTATGGTGTGTGTGTGTACATCACACAGTGAGGTGTGGTATGGTGTGTGTGTGTACATCACACAGTGAGGTGTGGTATGGTATGTGTGTATACTACATAGTGGGATACTGTGTGGCCTTTAAATGGGATATTCTGGTATTTGAAACTGGAAGTCATTATTCTAAATGAAATAAGAAAGGCACAGGGAGATAAATACTATGTCCACTTAGATGGAGTGGAAGAGCTAAATAGAGGGTGAGAAGCTATGAGCCAAATTAGAGAGACTAATTCAGGGATCTACTGGGCTGACTATAGTTAGTAGCAACACACTGCTGTATTCTCAAAAATCCACTGAGAACAAAGTTCATGTTCACCCCAGAAAAAATGCTAAGACCGTGAGATAACACATATGTGAGTTAACTTGATTCCCCATCCTACATACATACAGGTTTCAGAAGACACTGCACTTAATAAATACATACCCATCTTATTTGTCATTTTAAAGATATAGACATTTACAAGGCAAGAGACAGCACCAACCTTGAGCCTGTGCCTGCAGGCTGCCCCCAGGCACCCCAGCAGTCCAGACCTATAGGTAGAATGAAGCCACAGAGCTCCCTGCCATCCCAGCTACTGAGCAATGGAGCAGGGACCCCCAACTGTGTGTCTCTCTTTTCCACATTCTATTTAGAGGCAATTTCATGATTCTCTCAGACTTGTAGAATATTTTTCCTTCAGGAACTTCTACTGAAGTTGCAGTTAATTTCCCTTTCTCTTTCATTCCTTGATTTATTTATTTATTTATTTATTTATTTATTTATTTATTTATTTATTTATTTATTTATTTATAAAGAAAAGGCTACCCATCTACATACTTTGAAGAGCTGGATATCATTTGGGTTTGTGTAAAATTTTACCCACCTTCACCCTGCTAGGGTCTAAGCTTTGCTTTCTCTCCAGCCCCTCCTTCTATCCTGGTCCTCATTCCCACAGGTGGTCCCACCCCCAAAACACTCCCTCATGTTCCCTGGGGTCCCTTTTTTCAGAACCCAAATTACTCAGATATACAACATTCCAGATGGTCTGCCAGCTGTTTTCTCCTGTCTCCCAATGAGATGTTTCCAATTTCATCCTTAATTTCTCCACTGTCTCCCATTTCTAGCATATATTTTTAAAATATCTGTTTTTATTCTATGGGTCTTTTGCCTGCACATAGGTCTATTCTCTTAATGCATATCTGGTACCCACGTAGGGTAAAGAGGATGGCAGAATCCCTAGGACTATAGTTAAGGACAGCTGTGAGCTGCCTTGTGGGTGCTGGGAAACAAACCTGTGTCCTCTGCAGAAGCAGCAAGTGCTCTTAACCACTGATCCATCTCTCCATCCCATTTCTGATACATGTTTAATTTCTGAAATGTTTAAACTGTCTTAATGATTGTTTTTATTTTTAATCAGGGGCTTATTATATCCCAACTGTCATGAAACTCACTATGTAACCAAGGGTGACTTTGAACTTCTGGTCTTCATTCCTGCACCTCCCACATACTGGGATTACAGACATGTGCCAGCATACATGGAGATGGGAACTGAACCCAGGGCTTGGTGCACACTGGGTAAGTGCTGGGTAAGCACCTTACCAAAGGATTCTTCCTGCAGCCTCTGCCTCTTGCAGGCTGCCGGATTCTCCCATCAGCCCCTGTTGTAAACACTGCAGGGCAATGCTTGGCTATCCACACTGACCGTGGACACGCGATGGTGACTGGGAGGAGTGGGGTGGGGCATGAGACGGAGGGAACGGAGGCCCCACAGGAGTCCGCCGGGGCCTTCGCCTGCAGGTCCACACCAGAGTCAGGTGTAAACGTGACTCAGGAAGAGACATCCCTGGAGCAAGACGATGGAAGAGCTGTACCACACTGGACTCTGCAGGCATCGCACTGCATCAAACTTAAGTGCTGGGTACCCCACTGCCCAGAGTTCTTGAGCTGTAGTCCTGGGCTGAGCCATGTCTGTGCAACCTTCTATGAGCCCACAGGCTCCATCAGTATGGGAGCAGCTCAGCCAGCAGCTACATGAGTGTGTGTGGAGGGTTAGGAAAGGCAGACAGTGCCCAAGGAGGGCTGGGGACATTTGGGGGACCTATGGAGAAGTGGGCCCTAAATGGTAGTGCACATAGGAGACATTGTTCATCTTATCATTTACCCACACACTCTGCTGTCTGCTTGTGCAAACTTCAAGGCAGGCCACTCCCCACCCCTAATATTGTTTGCTTCCCCCCCCACCATCCTGAGTCACCCAGCATCATGGGGGTCTATGGATGGGTCACCTCCATCGGGGACAGATATATTGGGGGAATCCAGCATCTCAGTAAAGTTCCCCCAAAGATCAGCAATGCTGGTCCCGCCTATTCCAAAGTAGGCAGCTAACTTCCTAAAGAAATTACTAGAAACTGAAGAGCCTGCTAGGGAGACATGGAAGCTCTATAAAGTAGACTTCGGCGTTAGCTAAAGTGCCCTCCCTTCGTATATATAGTTCAAACACTAAAAATAAGCAAATGATGGCAACCATGAAACCCCCAACTTCCAGGCAGAGAAGCTGGCTTGGTAAAAACAGAGAAAAATTTACTGATTTATCAGTGACCCGAACTATCAGACTATATAAGGGCTGCTGTAAGTGGGCTGCAGATGGCCTTGCCAGGCATTACTGCAAGGAAAATGGATTACAGCCCTATCAAGGGCGGCCATTAGGGAAGCAAAAGAAAATTAAACAATCCAGGAAAACAGCCATTTAGCCCCTTGCTCAATGCTGCTGCATGCTCACAGGCAGCTCTCATTAAGGCAAATTGCAAGCAAACAACAGAGCAGGAGCAGAGTGTGTGTAGAGCAGTCGGCATCGCCAACACCAAGTGAAGAGTATGTGCCGAAATCACAGGCAACTCCCAGCAGCACTGGGTTTCTGACAGAACTTCATCTGTTGAAGAGTTGGTCAGAAGAAAAGAGAAAATGAGTCTGGATTATGGGCTCCATGATGGGCTCAGCCACACCCACTGCAGTAGGCGGGACAGTTACAGGAGATGCACGTGAAGGGCTTTAACGATTGGCTAGGCATAGCTTCCACAGAACACACGCCACACACATCTCTGCAGAGCTGGAGAAATAATAAACACAATTGCACATGGAGCTGCTTCAGTCTGTCTCACTGACAATCACCCCACATCCAGGGAAGAGCAAAGAAAGCACAAGAAAACTGCCAGCCAGCCTCGCTGCCCACATCCACAGGACATCGCTACTTGTCCTGTGGTATGAAGACAGATCTGGCCTTGATAACTGAAGATGCAATGGCACAGGGACCCACTTAGATGACCATCCTAGCAGATGAATATAATCTGCTGAAGATCAATCCCAAAATCTCTGAGCTCAGAAAAAGCACTTGCTTTATCTAAACCTAATGTGAGTTCCTGACTGCTGTGGTTAGAATGAGAACTGCACTCTCCCCTCCCCCACGCACCCCAAGTTCATGGTTTGAAAATGTCATCCCAGCTGGAAGTACTGTTTGGGAAGGTGATGGAAACTTGCTGGAGGAGGTGGGCCACTGGGGACAAGTCTTGAGGCTTTACTGCAAAATTCTACTTCCTGATGACCATGCGTCCTGGTTGCTTTTATTTATGCACTGTAACCAACTGCCCAATGCCTTCTCCAGCACCCAAGGCTGCCCCCCCTTGAACTCTGAGCCAACCTCCCTCCCACAGGCTGCTTCTTGTAGGGTCTTTTCTTTTTTGTCATGGGGAGGAAAAGTTAACTAAGACATCAACTGATGTCACATGACACTGAAGGGGACATCACTCTGGCCCATGGCGGGAAAGGTGTGTTACCTTCACCGGGAAGGTCTCCTGTCCAAATCCATCCAAACGCTCCACTTCATTGATGTACATCAGCTCGGCTTCTGCTGGCAGGATCCCACTACAATCAAAACAGTACCACAGGAGGAAATGGGTAGCAGTACAAAGTCAGCAGACAGCACTGCTGCACTAATGGCAAATTCCAGAGCTGTACCACATGCAGCCCCAAGTTCCGGGGGATGGCAATCATTTCCACCTGGGAGGGTGGCACCTTGTTAAGGTGGCAGCATTAACTTCCCCAGGCCTTTTACTCAAAAAAAAAAAAAAAAAAAAAAAAAAAAAGGAAGGTAAATTACTCAATCAAGAGACGTAGCCTTAAAAGCACTATTTGATACCTCCCTGTAAACGATGCTGTCTGCTTTTAAAAGATACTACTTTGCTCAGGAAAAATTATAAAGAGGGAGGAGGGTGAAGGGATAGGAAAGAGCATGGAGAGGAGAGGGGGAAGGAAGCAGGGGAGCACAGCCACCCTCACCCCCATTCCCACCCCACCCCCAAGCTCCACACAGAACAAGCGCATTGAGCCCAGTCAGTCACAGGATAGAAGCAAGGAGCCAGGGACCCAGGGATAGACAGAGCCATGAAGGCCCTGGCCCACAGTGGCTGTGCTGGCTGGACAGACTCTGTCTCCATCTGCCTTACCTGTGTGCTTTGTGCTCCTGGGCCACCTTCTGGGTCAGCTCCTCTAGAACAGCCTCCTCGAGGGCCAAATCCTGGAAGAACAGGACACTCAGGTCAGGGGTGGCATCTGTCAATGGCTCCCTGTCAGGTGACCCCAGTGACACACCCCTCCTCTCTCTCCTGCAGAAGAATGGGCTCAAGTGTTCAGTCTCTGCTGTTGCACACAGCTCCTACCATAGCCCATAGGACCCAGGCAGCTCCTGTCACCATAGCCACTGAGACTCCAGCAACAATATTCTCCCCTGCCTGTCTGCTTCCCACATGTACTTTTATTAAGCTGCTTGGTATATGTTTGTGTAGTGTGTGTGTGTAGATAGCAGAAAATGACTTCAGCTCTTATTCCTCGATGTAGGTCACCTTGGTGTGTTAGCTGGTTTTTGTTGTTTGTTTGTTTTTAAACACAAGGGCTCTCACTAGCCTGGAACTCACCAGGGAGGTTAGGCCAGTTAGCCAGAAATCTCCAGGGACCTGCCCGGCTCTGCCTCCTGAGCACTGGGATTGCAAGCCAGCTTTGCTTTCACACGGCCTCTAGGAATCAAACTCATGTCTTTGCAAGCACTCTACAGTGTAGCCATCTTCCCAGCCTGTGGCTGTGTATTTTTGACAATCGGGGTAGGAGCCAATGAGTTCCTAGGCTATCATTTTTAAGAGTTAAGCACCGGAATCAACTGTGCTAGGATGTTCTGTCTACCTCTGAAATTCCAGGCGATGTATTTAAACTGCATTGATGGTAGAGCTGGCTCCTTCTGATGTTACTTGCTGGTCAACAGAGGAGGAGTTGAAACACATCTCAGGGAACTTTTGTAGGGCTACACATGTGTAATGTCTCAGTGAAAAGGGACACAGGGCTGTCAGGCTGTCAGGGGAAGCATACATCTCTGTCCCCTAAGCTGTACAGGTGATGGCAAGAGTCTTCCAGCCACACCCCACTGAGGGCTCCTCCCCACTCATACTGTCCCGGGTGCAGGGTTGAAGTTGAAGTCTGAATGGATTCATAAAAGTGTCAGTAAAATGCCCACCATGTAAGTATGAGGCCCTGAGTTCTACCCTTTGAACCCATGTGGAAAAAATGATGGCTTGGGTGGTTCGTGGTCTGGGAAGGTGGAAATTAGGGCTCAGTGGCCTGAAATGTAGCCTAGTGTGTAGATTCAAAGCAAACAAGAAAGCCAGTTTCAAAACCCAAGGTGGATCAGCACCATGGAGATGATATCCAGGGCTGACTTATGGTCATACCACACACACACACACACACATACACACACAGACACACACACACACACACACACGAACACAAACAAAAACATAAAATAGCATTTATATAGAGGTTTGCCTCATGGATGAAACCCTTTATATCATTCCCAAAGTGGACACTTAACTATTAAGAACTAATCCATCTAGCCAGGTGTGGTGACAAGCACCTTTAATCCGAGCACTCGGGAAGCACTCTGTGAGTTCGAGGCCAGCCTGGCCTGCAAAGTGAGTTCCAGGACAGCCGAAGCTGTTACACAGAGAAACCATGTCTTGGAAAAAAACATAAACAAACAAAGGAACAGCTCCATCTGAGAACAACATTGTGAGAAACTTGTGTCACTAGAAACTAAAACAGGAACCTGTAAGTATGTCCTGGAACAGAGAAGCCCTAGTCCCTACTTCAAATGATCTGTCAGATCTACCTGACCCAACTGGATGGCATTCCCCTACATATGGAATTTGGGTGGGGGGAGGGGAGGGGAGGGTGGTTAGGGTGCATGTGAGAGGGCAGAGAGGGTAAAAGGGAGGAAAGGAGGGAAGGAGGGACGGAGGGAGAGGGAACTGGGATTGACATGTAAAATAATAAATTAAAAAAAAAAGAATTTGACTATAAGCTCAAATGTCTATATGACATTCTACAATCATGCATGAATAACTTCTGGGAAAAAAAGTATGTCCTGGAAGTTCTGCTCTGTGGTTTTAGCAAGTTCTAAAGTCCTGGGCAACAGGAGAGGAGAGGTGTGGTGAAGGGGAGGGGGTTAGGCTGCTGACTGATTGACATCTAGACAGCCACTGAGATGACCCAATGGAACCCTGGGAAATAAGCAAGCTTTTAGCTATAATACTTCAAGAGTGTTGTGTGCCTCAGACACTGGCTGCAAGCATCCCAAGCCACACCAGGTGCTAATTCTAAAAGGCACAGAACAACAGAATAAACTGAAGTGAAGATCAAAAGGCTCCGTTAAACCCCCAGTTCCAACTTTGAAAAATGCCCAAAGGCACCCTTCTGCTATTATACTCAACTCAATGCCTCCACCTGTGTGTGTGTGTGTGGGGGTGGTGGTGGCAGAGGTATGTATACCCCAGAGATGTGTGAGTGTGGCAGTGGCTGAATGACAAATGGCAGGGTGTGTGCCATAGCCACACACCTGTGGACGCCTGTGTACACAGCTTTGTTCTTTTCTCTGCTGAGGAAATGGCATCTGACGACTCAGTGACTAAGGGAGATCAAACAGGGCCATTCATCTGTCTTCCCTCCCCCAGCACAGGAATGCAGGTTTCCCTTTGAGAGCTCCAGCAGAACGGAGCAGAAAGTCGACAACTTTCCAGGGCTCCCCACCGCTTGCACAATTAGCTCAACACCTGGGCCTGGCATCTGGACCTATCTTCAGTGGGACCAAGCCACTCCTTCCAGAGTTCAGAGCCTGGGGCAAGCTTCTGTTCTCAACACAGTTTTTACTGTCTCCGGTGTACACTCGTGACCACACAGTCCCACTACACAATGGGAAACATCCCATTGCAAGTATCACTAGCGATACTCCATGGTGCCTTCCTCCTCTGGACACAGCTCCTCTGTGGTGGGGGCCCTTCGCATCCCTTCTGTATGCTCTGTCTATATTGTTTCTTCTGTGGTTATCTATCCACCATCCTATTTCATCCCTTGCTTTCCTTCCCCTGCTAGAATCTGGGTCCCTCAAGGGCAGTAATTCTCCCATGCCCTTAAGAGGTCAGTCATGCCACAAGGCTTTCCCACACTGACCCTTCCAAGTTCATAATACAAAGTAAACACTCAATAAATATTGACTGAACTAAACTCGATGTATGGTATATGACTTCTGTATTCTTAGACATGAGGTTTCGATTACACAAAACTGTATAACAGTAGTCTGTCCCTCTGCTTATCCTGTTGGCTTGCATTTCAAAACGCAGACAGCTCATATTTGCACATCATAGAGAGGGTCACCATAATAGTAACACAACCAAATAACTGGCTACTCTGGACCGAGCTGGGTACCTCATACAGATGTTCTCCTTCATCTTCACAGTGGGGATGGGCTTATTCTCACTTCGGATGAGACGACTGAGGCTTTGGACCATCAGCTAACTTACTCCAGGTTGTGTGGCCAGTAAGGGTGCTAGCCCCTATGCAGCCTCGGCAACTATGTGTTTCAGACCACAGACCACCCAGGACAGGTCACTGCATTGGGTGGCTGAGGATGTGTGCTCAGAAAAGAAAGATGAGGGCTTCCCAGTTCAGCCATGAGCACAGGCAACCACCAGTGCCATACTCATCACTGCCCATGGAGACTTGGAGGCCAGTTAAAACAAACAAACAAACAAACAAACAAACAAAAACAACTTCTGATCTTTCCCCTAGACACACACACGGCTACTGAGCAGTTAATATGTGGCCAATCAACTAGGGGACTCAACCTCTGATTTTATTTCATCTAAATTTGAATACCTACATCCACCTCTTCTTTCTTCCCTGTCCCGGTCATGCCTGGTCCCCTCTGCTCTACATCTTTCACACTAAGTAAGGCACAGGTGACATCCCAGTCATCTCTGAGCCTTTCCTAACTCCCCCAAGGTACATGTGGTTCCTCCCCAGGTCAAATCCTGGTTGTAACTCCTAAACTATAGAATCCCACCCTGACCTGGCAAATCTCACCCTGGAAATACCCACTACTGTAGCTCTTGTACGGCTCCATTCCCAGGGGTCTATTACCCAGGTCAGCAATTGGGACAAAACAACTGAAAAAATAAACAAACAAAACAAACAAACAAAAAACCCCAAGAAGGTAAACATGCGAGTGGCAGTTTGTAAAAGCAGACCCAGCAGATGGCACTCAGGGCTGCTTGCAAGCTGGGCTCTTCCACAACGCGCCTTCTCGATGTGTTCAGTCATCCCCCCTAAAACTCTTCTCAGTGAAGCCACCAACCTGGAAACAGAATTCCCCAGGGGTGACACTGGTCTATGCTCCAAACAACTCAGGAATGGGCAGTTTTACTTCATTCTAGAAACATGTATGAACACACACCATATGCCAGACAGCAGTGGCCACGGGGTCTCTGCCTTTAGGACCCCAGACCTGGCATTCTAACTGACAAAAATAAATAACAATGAGCGGGTTCAAACACGGAAGGGGCTGACAGTGCTCACCCAGGTGCCATTCGTAAATGGGAATGGCTGACAGGTGCTGCCCACAGATGGGCAAGCAGTAGGGCTTTCCTGAGGAGTAGGCAGGGGGACAATGATCCCACTGACAGATTTGGCAGGGCACTTGCCAGCAGACAACACCTAACTCCCAAGGCCTGGGGTAGTTCGGTATTTTGGAGGAGCCAAACTGTTCCAAATGAAGAGGACTTGGTAGACAAGTGTCTTCTTGGCAGATAATAACCATATGTATTTATGAGGAAAGCTTGTCTCTTCCATTCCTGCCCCGAAACACTGGCAACACACTGAGTGATAGCCATAGGTCCATTCTACCCACAACCTCCCGACTGCTCTTTGACAACAGTTATCCCAGCAGTAATGAAGCAGTATTCCACTGGAATTTAAATGGACACTCCCTGATGAAGATCAGTGATGCTGAGTATTTTTTCATGTATCTCCTGGATTAATTAATCATCTTTTGAGAAATGTCTATTCAGATATCCTGTGCATTTTATAATAGGATTCTGTGTTTTCTTATTATCACATTTGAGCTCCACAGATTTGGCTACAAGCCCCTTGTCCAAAGTATGATTTGCAAATATTTTCCTTGTGCAGAAGTTCTTTATTTTGATGCGTTCCTACTGCTTCGTACATACTTGTATTTTAGGGGTCGTATGCAGGAAAACCATCACCAAGACAAAGTTCTTGAGCCCCCTCTGTCTTCCTCTAACATTTTAAAGTCTGGGGACTTATGCCTGCATCTTAATCCACTTGAAACTGATTCGTATACACTGGGTGACATTAAGGCCTCAAATCCATCCCATTTCATGTGGATGCCAAGCTCTCCAACACAGCATACTGTATCCTTGACCTCTGTCAAAAATAGGTTGTATGAGTGTGGATATATTTCTGGGCTCTATTCCAACCCAATGGTCAATGAGTCTGTTTATAAGCCAGCACCATCAGGTGGTGCCTGCATTTGGGTTACTACAGCTATGAAGGAATGCCATGACCAAAAGCAAGTTGGAAAGGAAAGGCTTTATTTGGCATCTGCATCTGTAGTCCAGCACTGAAGGAAGTCAAGAAAGGAACTCAAGCAGGGAAGGAACCTGGAGGCAGGAGCCAAGGCAGAGATGCTGTTTACTGCCTTGCTCCCTATGGCAAGATTGTTTTGGCTACTTGGGGATCTTCTGTGGCTACACATGCATTTTAAGTTTGTTTTTCCTGTTTCTGTGAAGAATGGCATTGTGATTTTTGACAGGGATTGCATTAAAACTGTAGGTTTTTTAACACCAATTCTTCGAAGCCATGACCCTAGATCATCTGTTTGTGTAATCTTAAATTTCTATCACTGCCAGATCCCACCACCCTTTAGCCCCAAATAAACACAAAAAGACTTATGTTAATTTAAACCTTTGGCCAATGGCTAGGACTTCTTATTGGCTAGCTCTGTCTTAAATATTAACCTATTTCTATAAATCTATGTATTTCCATATGGTCTTGGCTTACCAGAGAACTCCTGGACCTGTCACTCCTTTGGCAGCTGCGTGGCATGCCTTCCCCCCCCCGCCATCATCTCTCTCTGCCTACCTTTCCCAGAACGCTCTCCATCTCCTAGTCCCACCTATCTTCCTGCCTCTACTGGCTATTGGCCAAACAGTGTTTTATTCATCGACCAGTAAGAGAAACATAATACAGAAAGACATCCTCCATTACCCCATCTCTTGTTTTCTTTTGTGGTCCTGAGGACTGAACCCATGGATACACAAGCTCAGCAAGTGAGCTATGAACCCTCCCAATCCACACTCACCACCTGATTCAAGTGCGACTAGCAACCTAGCTAAAATAAGTAGGGCAACAATAAATGAAGAAATGAAGATCTGCATGGGAAAGGAAGAGGTAAAACAGTCTGTGTTTGCAGATTACAGGACTATATACACAAGCACAGATTCCATTAAAAGAAAAACAAACACTGTTAGAAGTGACAAATTTAAAATCAACCAACAAGACTTGGTGCTATTTCTCTATGCTACCAAGGTTCTAGCTGGGGTGGGGGCTGGGGGAAATCAGAAAGTACCTTGACATGGGAAGAGCCTCACCCCCATCCCACTCCTGGTACGTCATAAAATTTGTCCTTGTATTAAAGTACGCAGATCTCCTTCCCAGGAGCCACAGAAAATTTCAAAATAAAGAATGAAATGTCCAAGGAAAGAAACACTGAAAAAGGAAAGAAAGAAAGAAAGAAAGAAAGAAAGAAAGAAAGAAAGAAAGAAAGAAAGAAGTGAACTCACCATAGGAAACAGGACATATTCTCGGAGGAATTCTTGGGAATCAAATTGGTTATAGTCTCCAAAATCCGCTGAGAAGACAGGGAAACAAGAGCAATCGTTACGTGAAGATAAAACATGGCAAACTTGTGCCCGCATTTCCCTGAGCCCCATTAAACAAGATTGGTGCCAAGCTGAGTTTGCTGTTGTCCCCACATTTACCTAGCAGCTATCAGTGTTGGCATGTGAACCCCACTAGATGGTTTTTAGGAAGAGAGGGGAAATTTGGAAGTAAGCCCTACAGGCTGTTTAAAGACTTTAAAACCAACCCGTGTTTGTTTGTTGAGTGTGTACTGGTTGGTATCCTATATCTGTTTGCCAAGGGGACTTTCTACGTCAAGGTTAAGATGGAGAAAAGTAGCTGGAAATGCATCTGCAGCTGGAAATCCCCACTGTGAATCACCCTTGGCAAGCAACTTTGAAAATCTTCACACCTCCTGAACACATTTACATGTCACAAGATGCCAGGAATTCTGTTCCTGGTTGCCATCTCACAATGGTATGCTGGGGCACGTGCAAACTGAATCCACAGAAATACCTTGCCTTTTGCTGGCTTTGCACACAGAAATGTCAACACTACAGAGTCACAGAGACAGTGATGATCCCCCCTACAAATGGACTGCAACTGTCATTCAGATGAGGAGCTCAAAAGAGGAACCAAGTTCAATCATGCCATATCTCCAATGGCCTCTTTTACTTCTGTGGGTGTGACTTTCTATTGGTCCAATAGGGATTGTTAGGAAAGTAAGTGTGTGTGTGTGTGTGTGTGTGTGTGTGTGTATGAGAGAGAGAGAGAGAGAGAGAGAGATATGCACCTGTGTGGGTGCACCCTTCTAAGTGTGTATATGAAGACAAGAAGCCAATCTCTCCGATATCTTTCTCAGTTGCTTCTGCAACCTTATTTAAGAGGCATCATCTCCCACTGAATCTGAAGTTCACTGTTCTATGAGCAAGCCCCTTCCAATGCATACACAGACGTGCCCGACCTTATGCGGTTCTTGGCATCTGAATTCAGGTCTTCATCCTTGCAGACGATAACTTTACCTACTACCAAGCCCACAAGAATGATACTTCAAACATTACATAGTTAAAGGAAGTTTCACAAGACAGGCAAAATAGTTCACTTCAAGAAGGCAATAAAAAGTCTACCAACTTCTTCAAGGATCTTGCAACACCCAGGGTGCCCGGAAAACGCCCAATGAATGAACAGTGAGAGGAGGTGTACACACAGGGACAGGAAAGAAAGCCTTTTCCAGAAGAAACACCCAATTTGAAGATGAGGGGCACACTGGATTTTCTCAGAGCTCTGGGGTTACTGCAACTAACCCACCACTAGCGCCCCCATGAGACTGCCTGCTGGTTTTCTCTTTCTGCTCCTTGGGTGGACACAGGAATGCAATGTATTTGGGGCATTTTCACCCAGAGTGAAATGTCATAGGAATCCATCTCTTCAGACATTAGCACTCAAAGAGTTCAAGTTCTGAGTGTAGGATGGGAAGTCTAGCTCATAGCTCCTTATCAACAGCCCACGCTGCAACAACTCTGCAGCCAGCAGAAAATAAGAACTGAAAGGGAAATCAGTCTCTTGGGGTTGTAGAAACAACTCAGCAATTAAGAACACTTGCTTCTCTTGCAGAGGATATGGGTTCAGTTTCTAGCACCCACATAGCGGCTCACCTGTAACTACAGTTTCAGTGGATCTGATGCCCTCTTCTGGATGCCCCAAGCATGGCACCCATAGTGCATATACACACATGTAGGCAAAATACTCATACACACAAAAAAGAAAAATCTTTTTAAAATTGAACACACTCTTCCTATTTTCAATATGAGCAAATGTATTTAAACCACCATTCAAAAAAACTTATAAAATACAAGTCTGGAGAATGGCTCAGTGGCTAAGAGCATTTGCTGTTCTCTCAGAAGATATGAATTGGGTTCCAAGCACCCATAGATGATGCTTTATAGCCCCCTGTAACTCCAGTTCCAGGAGATCTGACAACCCTCTTTTGGCCCCTACGCACACCTGGAACACACTCACACATATACACATACATAAAAATTAAAAATAGAAAGCACACATTAAACTCTCAGAAAATAACACACTCTGTAATAGAGAGAAGGTTGAAAATAGCTGGACAGGTGAAAGACAACTCATGTCCCTTGTCACATGGCCATCATGGATTTAAATTGCTCCCTTCATCTGCATGACAGTAAGGTACAGACAGCTATTGCACTTAATTGGTGACAGTAACTGGCTGACACCATCAGGATACAGAATATGACAACACCTTACAGTGGAATAATCCTGAGACAATGTCTCCCACACTCTAAAGGCAGCCTCAGTTACAGGCAGGATTTAAACACTGTTTCTGCCGTTAGAACCATAATGGAAACATAGTCAAACAAGCATGACTGACTTACATGCAGCTTGGAGAAACCCACCCTCCTGCCACCCCAAATCACTAACTTTTCATCTTAATGCAAAACGTCTTGAAATCACCAGGAAGCCTCAGCCAGAGGTTGCTTAACCAAATCTGTTCATTCTGGAGGAGCCCACCAAAGCAGAAGATGGAAGTCCATAGATGCCTTACCTTGCACAGCTAAGCCAGCAAGCCGGATCACTTGTTCCAGGGTGCACCGTAATCGTCCTTCAAGCACATCCTTTTTTACTTGCAGGTAATACTGGTATCTGTTCCAGGAAGAGAAAACAACCGTAAACACACACACACACACACACACACACACACACACACACACACGCACGCGCGCGCCAGCGCCAGGTGTTCACAGTGGGATGTACAGGTGACACCGGTGGCGTCATCTCTACAAAACACAGACAGTGACCTCTGCCCCGTGTCCCTCTTTCGGATGTAACAGGTGCTGAAGCCAGTTCCCTGTGAGAACATTCTCATCTAATGTTTGTTTGTGGGCCCTCAGAATGAACTGAGGCCAAGAATGTTCCAGAAACACTCAACAGTACCTGCTTTGGATAGCTCAATGGTCAGTTGGAAAAAATCTAGAACCCATGGCAGATGGGTCTCTGAGAATGTTTGTGGGGGCACTATCTTGATTACCTAATTGAGGTAGGAATACAATAAAAAAATAATAAAAATGAATCTTAAAAAATAAAAATTGATAAATGTAAAAATCTGGTAGACCAGATCGTGGATCTCTAGTTGGTCAAATAATGTGGAGCCCTGTTGAAGCTTTTTCAGAGCCAGGCTTCACCTCACACGTTTGAGACACATAAAAAAATAGTTGGTTTTAAATTTCCAACCTGGAGTAGTACCCTTTCCAAAAGCACAGTGTAGGCAGTCAGCACGGGCAGCCACATGTCACACAAGCTGCCACAGTGCATGTTCTCCCTGCTCCCAAAGTCACTCCCTCAGAACGACCCGGCCTTCAGACACCTCCCAGATCCAGCTGTTCGCTTCCAGGACACAGCTTCTGCAGACTGGCACCCTCGCAGTCACCTCTGCAACCACACTGCTCTGCAAAGCCATCTGGGAAATACTGACTGCCCGTGTGCTCTCGCACTCTGTAGTCAAAGGTCACCCCAGGTTCCCAACAGAAGGACAATCAGGGGTAGGAACTGCTTATGGCTAGGACTCTCACAGGTGCAGGAACACACTGGTCTAGTGCCTGTCAGAGGAGATGACACTGACCCTCTGCCCAGCCCAGCCCAGCCAAGTTCAGCCCTCCTCATCTATAGGGCAGAGCAAAACAAAAACAAAAACAAACAGAAAACCAAAACAGATTAGTCTTTGGTGGTAAAAACCTAGACTCAGATCTGAAGGGCAAACATTGGGAGTCACTTAATAAATCATTTTAAATCAAACTTAATGTGCAACAGAAAGCTAATTTTTGTTTTCTACTTCTACCTGATAAATTCACAACCGTTTTACAGGTTTCACTATCCAGTCAGGAATTTTCCTTCTGCCCATAATGTTTGGCTGCATCAAGGAATGATCTCCTTTAAGCTTTCGAGGCCAACCAGCAGAAAACCTTTTGTCTACTTGTCCATCAAAGGCCACCCCCAGTGGACACTGCTCTGTCCCTAACTGTCAGTCACCACAGGCCTGATTCCTCTTACCCCCAAGTCCTAGCACACAGGAAAAGAATTAGACAGGAGAACTTACGGCCAAAGTTATTTGCTGGCTATGAAAAGCCACTTTTGTTAATGCTAAAAAAAACATTCAGACTAACAGGGAGGAAATATCAAGATCAGTGAAAAAGCCCGTGAAATGAAAGGCTCTGTGTGTGTGTGTGTGTGTGTGTGTGTGTGTGTGTGTGTGTGTGTGTGTGTGTGTGGTGAAGGAGAGAATGGAGTGAGAAAGAGAGAGGGGGAGGGAGAGAGAGAGGGAGAAAGAGAGATGGGACAGTTCTTGGCAGTGGGCAAAGGAAGCCATGATTTGTTCCTTCGTGAGAATCTGAACAAATAACATAAAAGCACAACTTCATATGAACTTAGAATCTTGACGAGGGTAAATCAAAATACCCAACACTAAGAATCCTGAATGACCACAGTAATGTCCTTTGGCATTATGATTTCCTTTGTGTGGAGCATTCATATTTCCCAGTTGTTATGTGTTTCTCAAAGAGGGCAATGGACCCATACAGTGGTCTATAGCCAAGTGCTTGCCTGTCTCTCCTCTGAACCCAGGCTACAATCAAAACCTCAGTTCCTCTGCTCCTCTGCATTCCAGGAACTCCACCAAGACTTCACACGAAGGAACAAACACCCTCTCTTACTGGCAACGCTCACACAGCCATATCTCAACACAAAAAATGCTGGTGTCTTAAAAATCTACACCAGATGTGGCAGCGGCATGAACCTGTTATCCGGCCACTCCAGGGACTCAGACAAGAAGATCACAAATTTAAGCCCAGACCAGGGTATACAGTGACATCTGGGCCAGCCTGGGCTACACAGTGAGACCTTGTCCCAAAATGAAATTATGCAACAGCTAACTGACAACATACCACACTGGTACACCTCTCAGGAGGAAGGCTCAGTGAGTGTGAGGAGGGAGTGAGGCCTGTGGCTCCAGAGAGATGCTTCTCATCTCAGAGCACTACACAGCCTCGGTGCCCTCCTCCGCCATCTTGTTCACTGCATCCCTGGGCCAGCTCTCCAGGGAACATTACCTCACTCGCTCCAGGTAACCTTCTCTTCAAGAGACCCTGGGAAGTGCCCGGGAGTCTCTTGTGAAGGAGGCTTTCATCTCTGCAACCCCAGCAGTTCTTAGAGGGACGAGAGGAAGCCAGTGTGAGGGTCCTTAAGTCATCAAACTCCTTTGAAACGCCAAGAGTTCACTGTGAACGCAGTTGCGTCTTTGAAGACGAGCCACTTCGAGTCTGAAGATCCTACTTTCAGACTCGAAGTGGGGGAATGAGAACGGAAAGAGGGACAAGGAAAGGTGTTAGCTTTCCACTGTGGGCCCTGTGTGTCTCTCCAGACATGTTAAACGGCACCAAACAACAATACCCCCTAAGAACTCAAGAGCAGGCTCTCCGGCCAGAAGGTGCCTTCAGGTATATTGAGGAAAGCTGCAGAGGGATTCTGAAAACTGAGCAGACCAGGTGGGGAGGGGTGGGGGGAAACTCAACTGGGACAGGAGGTAAAAGCTCACCTTATCCTAATTACACAACATTTGAACCTCTCTGGAGACAGCTCTTCTCCTCTGTCATTCATGGTGGTTCTCACTTATTTTTATTCCTTTGAGTCAGAAGGACACACAGGTGTTAACATGTATGCTGTCATCTCAGCAAGGGACCAGGCCTCTGTCTCTGCCTCCAGGGGACCACAGCTGGCCACGACCCGGGCCAGCACAGCTCTTTACTGTGCTGTCTGATGGATGGGGCTGTCTTCCAGCCCCCAGGGGAAATGTTTCTAAGGATGTCCTCGCATTGTGTGCCAGAATTGAAGTTGTTTCCCATCTCACCCCCGAAGTGAAAGTGGGCAGATTCTTCTGGGGGTGAGCCCAGTGACCAGGAACACACTAGAGCCACAAGCAGCAGCCCCACTTCTCCCAAGTCTCACACTTGGACGTCCACCCAGGTCCAGCTCCTCTGCTGTCGCTGGTTTCACATGGTCCAGGCTGACTTCCAACTCCCTACATAACCAAGGATGACCTTGAACGCCTGCTCCTCCTATCATGATAGGAAAGCCCTCTACCCACTGGGCCAAACGCCCAGCTCACGTATGTGGCAGGTTCCATTCAGGTCATCCTGTGACAGGAAACAGTGGTGTCAGTCCTACAGCAAGGGGCACTGGAATGTTCCTCACACGTAGGTTGGTGTAGGCTTGTGCTTGGATGCAGCTGTATGTATGCTCTAGCCTGGAAGACATCCAGACCACAAAGGCCTCTGAGAAGCCATAGCGATGTGTACTGTCACCACATGAGACTGTGGCAGTTACTAGCGAGACTGGAAAAAAATAAGAACAATGGACTAATGTGGAAATTGTTTTGTCCGTTTGCTTTCCCACTGAAAGCCCCTCTGTAAAACACAAAAGATGGCGTCCTGTAGGATCCGAGAAAGCAGAGCTGGTATTCTGTTTTTAGAATCGTTGGGTTCCTCTCTGTTTTGGTTAGAGATACAACTCTGACTGCAGTAAAGCAAAACCGTGGGTACTATTTTGGAAACATACAATTTCATGGAAGTACACTCCACCCTGTCAGCACTGTGGGTGGAAGGGAAAAATCCAGCCAGCCAATCCTCATGCCAGGAAACAAAGCACAGCCAAGTTTCCAAAGAGGTCCTCTTTGAATCTAAGCTTGCAAAGAAATGTTAAAACATTCCTCATATTCAAAGCCCTTGAAACACCCCATCTGGCTGCAGAGACCCACTGACTGGTTTTAGGTTACAAGTGATTGTTGCTCCCTGAAAGAATGGGGACATAATTCTACACATTGAATACAGGTTTCATTTTTTTTTTATTTTGGTCTTGATTTTAATCTAAAGCAAAAATTCATTTATTGAGTAAATGCTAGTCTCTCTGGGCGATGCAAACAAGGGTCCCAGAGATCCCTGTTGCTAAACATAATAACTGAGAGCTGAAACATGCTATGAACTTGGCTCTGGAGAGTCATCTTCCTTGAATGTTCCTATTCCATGGCACAGACAACTTTTCTGACTTCCTTCCTCCTCTAAGATTCTGAACAGAAAGTTTATTTTTAAATTCTAAACTTAGCCAAGCCAACGGAGCTCTTGGTATTCTGAAAGAGGTACTGACAACTCCCCCCAAAATCTCAGCTGAATCACGATAACTTCTGTGTTTGAAGATGTGGGGCTGGGACCCCTCATTGCCTCTTGAACTCACATGTGAGGAATCTGAACATTCCGTCTGTATTACACTTTCAGGTCTGTCTCTTCTGGTTGAGAAACGCCTTGTGGTAGCCTACAAAGCAGGGCCTGTCTTACTGCAGAACCATGAGAGCAGCGCCGGGAACTCAAAGGCTGAGGACTATGTGTAGCTTTGAGAATGTTTCCCACCCCTCCCCCAGGCAAGTCCAGGGCAGCACAGGATCCCCCAGTTGGGAATAGCCCATCACAATAGCAAAGTCTTCAGACCTGGGTTGCTCTGACTGCCATCCAAGAACGTTGGTACCCTCACCACGCCCAGAGGATGGAGGCAAAGGAGTGGTGGGCTACAGAAGCTGTAGATGCTTGCTTAGAGGAACACAC